GTACCCTGCTAACCAGAGGGAGGTGCTGCTCTGGGGCGAGGCTCACTGGACCTCTGCAGCCATGGCGACAGCAGTGCCCGCCCCTTCCCCCCAGGTAAGCGCTAGGCCTCAGGACTGCAGGGAGGAGTCTAAATCCTGACCCCAGCCTGTGCTCCTGCTCCTCTGCCATCTCCTACAGCTGGCTTGTCTGTGGGCTGCAGACCCAGTGACTGCCTCTCCGGCTGGGACACTGCCTCAGCCCAACACTGCCGGCCTCTGTCACAGAGAGGGGCCATGTCTTCTCCTCCTGCCCCTTGGGCACCAGGTGTCCAGCCTGGTGCCTGCCTACCCTGTGGGGACAGTTCAGAGAAGAAGGTCCAGGCGGCCAGGCAGACCTGTGACCCTGGAGCCATGACGGAGCCTCTGTGAACTGGGGTAGATAATTCTTAACCACGGGAGGTGCGGGAATGACAGCAGCACCTCAGAGCACTGGGCAACGGCTAGCGCTGGGGGAGGTCTCAGGAAGTGGGAGCTGCTGTCACAAACATCATCGCCATCCTGGTTCTCTGCCTGGCAGACACTGGGCGGGCTAGGCCACCGGCCTCCCTGCCCACAGTGTGAACAGACACACAGGACAACTGTCTCAATTTTCTGACATTCACAGAAGTCTCGATTCCTGCGGACAGGGGAGGGTGCAGCTGGTTTCCTGCTGTCCCTGCAAAGCTTTCAGGTCCCCCTCCCCCTGGCCCCATTCCTCCAGCCCCCTCTTGTCTTCCTCCAGCCAACTAGCACCCTCCCTGGCACCGCCCTTGCCAACACTAATCAGGCGAATTCCAGGGCATCTGGGGATGCTGGTGGCTCTTGGAGCTGCCAGCCTGGCGCTTGGTGCTGGGGAGGGTCTCACCCCTGCAGTCACCAGTGGGCTCTGCGACTTCCCTAAATCCTCCATCACCTCTGGTCTTGGCACACCAGCCAGGAGGTGGAGGCGTGCAGAGGGTTAAGGTTGTGGAGCAGGAAGGCGAAGGCAGGAAGTGGGGTTTTATGGCTTTCCTAAAGGAATATCGAACAGAGATTTAGGGTTTCCAAGCCTACGCAGGCTATCCCAGCTGGCCAACCCACCGCAGGGGGTCTCGGAGCTCACATGTGCACCCAAGTTTCCCTATGGAACGCGGCCTGGGAAACAGTATGCTCCAGCTCTTTGTTTAGGAGGATGATAGCATCTGCTGTATCTTGAGTCATCTGCCTGGTACCCTGCTAAGCAGGAGCATGGAAATGTCTGCAACTCACCTCAGACCCCATGGCAGGGGCTGTCACTGTCAGTGGCCACAAAGAACCCTCCAGCTCCTGCCTGGTCACCTGGACTCAGACCCCAGGCTCATCTCCTGGTGTGAGTGAGCGCATCTCACCGGGGTGGTCGTGGGAGCAGCCTGCCTGCCCAGAGATGGTGTCGGAGACCACAGTCTTCCCATGGTCCAGGGTGTGGCACAGCTCTGGCCACCTCTGGATGCCACCCACCTGCTGGCCCCAGGGAGCGCTCCTTCCTTCAGCGGCAGGGCCCTGCCCCACAACCCTGGCCACACAGGAAGACCATGCCATCATGCCTGCTTAACTGGTGAGCGAATTCACCAGAGAGGTGAGGTGACTTTCCTAATCCTTGGAGTGTATCCAGAGCCCAGATGGCCCCCACAGCCCGCAATCCCCTCTCCACTGGGGACCCCTTCCTTTCCAGGGCATGCACGCCACTGTTCCAGCCTCTGTATTCCTGTGATGTTTGTCACCGGACACACACACCCACTCACACCCATTCTTGCTCACACCCCCTCACACCTGCGCGGGGACCCTGGTGTGGTCTAGTTTCCCTTCTGCAGGGCGCTGCCTCTCCAGCTTCTCTCAAAGGGCAGAGTTAGAGCTCCTGAGGCCCAATGCCTCGGTTTACATTTTACGGCTCTGGAAGAATCAAAGGGCAAAGGCCCGCCTCCTCATGGGCCCCCGAGTTCCTGAGAGAACAGAGCTGCTCATCCCCAACACACAGGTACACACAGGGTGGGGGGCCGTAGCTGGCCTGGCCCTCCCATCGTCCCTGTCCTGAGGCACCAAAGCTTAGTTAAAATCCTCCCAAACTCAATAATCTAGTATTTTATGAGATACAACTTGAAAAGGCAGCCAAATCACAAACAAGGTCTCATGTGAATGCACGTTCCTACTTATGGAGCGAGGCCCTCCCCACAGGGCCCCCCCGGCCTGGACTTGGTTCATCCCAGGGTGTCCACCCATTTTGGTCAGAACTGCGCACGCTCTGTGCACAGGAGCTGGTCGTTGCCCCTGCAGCACGCACACCGTGCCCTGCCTGCACCGGAGCTCAAGACCAGCTGCCGATTCCCGATTCAAGGTGACAGACAGCATGGGACGCTCCAAAGGGCTCAATTCATGTCACAATCCAGGCCCGCAAGGTGGAGCAGGAAAAGCAGTGCTGGCGTGTGGAGCCCCTCACTGCTAACTGGCCACGGACATGGGTGGGCCAGGGGCCTCGTGCTGAAGAGGCACTAACAGATGGCAGACAGCTGGGGTTTTACAACACTGTCAGCATTTACAAAGCAGGCACAACGCATTCAGTAGGGCCCTTACGTTCAGAGAATTAACTGCAGGCAGCTTTACTGCAATGTTAGCATTCCCTGTAGGCTCCCAAGAAGAAACCCACGTGGCTACAACGGGAGTCGTTAGGCTCTCCCATGGCACAGGGCCTGGCTCTCTTGGCTCCTCCTGGTGACCTGGGGCCTGCTCCCCCATCCAGAGCTCTGGCTGCACATCATCTCCCCATCACCCAGGATGTCCCCATTGTACAGATGAGAAAATCGAGGAGACAGAGGGGACTAGTCCATTGGCTCCCCTTCCTGTCTCCTCACCGGACCTAGGCCTGTGCCCGGGGGAAAGGCAGGCTGTGGGGCCTCAATCACGGGACCCGGGCAGCAGCATCCCTGTTTCGTGGGAACAGGTTGGGGGCAATGAGACAATTCTGGGTGGACAGTCCCTAGTCTGCCCCCAGCAAGTCCAGGCTCTGAGGCATAGACACTGGGGGTTCTCGGAAAGCCACTTTGCTGCCGGAGCTGTTCCTAAGACAAGCCGGGGGGAAGCCCCTGCTGGACCCCAGAATCCGGGATATGTGCGTGGAAATGGAAGCTCCTAGGACCATTGCAGGCTTCCCATAAATCCCAGAGCCCGCTCCCTCTCCCAGATTTCACCACAGCAGCACTGCACTGACTGGCCCCACCTGGCCTTTCGGTCGATGGGGAGCCCGGGCAGCCTCAGAGCCTGGTGTCGGCAGGAAGAGGGCGTCCGTCTCCCACGTCCCTCCTCGGCAGGGCTTCCCTGCGGCTGAGACGCCAGAGCCACGTGCTCTTCTAAGTGGGTTTATACTTGGGAATAACGAACAGGCCAGCTCAGACAACTGTGCACGGTGACCATGGTGGCCGACCTCGTTCTCCGACAAGCACGGAGCCAGAGCGGGGCCAGGCACGCCTCGCTCCAGAGGCCACTGTGTTCCTTAAACACCCTGTGAGACAGGGACCGACCACTGCTCTGCAGAGGGGGCCATGAGTCAGAGGTCAAAGAAACCGCACATGGAAATTTGGGAACTGCAACTGCCAAACTCAAAATGCCGATGCAGAGGGAAGTGAGTGGCGTCAGTAAAAACAACGCAAGCACGAGGGCAAAAGCTCATGCAATCCAGAGGGCCCCTCCTGGGGGCAGGCTGGCCCAGGTTCCGGGCGCCCACCTCACCCACCTCCTGCCGAGGGACCTGGCAGGGTCAGGCCTGTTCATACCAGAGGAGATGGACAAACATGCAAACAGGGACGGGCTGCAAGAGGGGAAGGTGGTGTGGACTTTGCTGTAGGCAGTTCTTGCCAGGTCCTTGCCCATGTCTCTCCTTCCTTCCTCACTCTAGGGCACAAGGCTCACCCGCCACCTGCACGTCTCAGACTGCTGTGGTTCTGTGCCCACCTCCGCTCCTATGGTTCTCGGGTATGACGGTAGCAAAGTGAACACCTCCCACAGTCTTCAAGCCCAGCCATGACATTACTTATGCAAATAAAATGCCCTCATTCGAATTCTAAATATATCGGCATGCCAGGTGACCTCATCCACCTAATAATAGAAATGCTGCTAACTTTCTCTGGGGGGATCGCGCTGCAACCTGCTCACCTCCCCACATCTTTCCCCACAGCCCAGGAGCCTGGAAATGGAACCTCATCCTGCTCTGGGCCGCCCCGCCCCGCCCCGCTCCGGCACTCACTTCAGCAGGTCCTTGTCCTTGTTCAGGTGCTGGAAGAAAGATGGCTCACAGATGAGCTGGTTCTCCTGGCACACCTGCTTGCAGGACTGCCCTGGCCCAGCGAGCTTCACCTGCAGGGCACTGAGGGGCGGCCACATCACCTGCCCGTGGCAGAAGTCCTGGAATGACAACAAAGCCATCAGCCAAGGGATCAGAGCTGCAACTTGCAATCCCCAGCCTGCCAAGCAGCCCACAGGGGAGGCGGCCCTTGCCAGGGAACAGGAAAGGGGAGCCTTGGTTGGGCTCAGGGCTTGTTGGCTGAAAACAGTTACAATGCCGCCCTGATTCAACAGCTAGAAAAACTGTCTGAGGACGGGTGAGAGGACGTGAGGTAACCTGCAGCCCATCAGGGAGGCACCCTGGCACAGGTGTGGGAGCTCAGAATGGGGCAGGGCCTGTCGTTTCCGGGATCTAGAGGGAGTGGAGGAAACTAGCAGGTCTAGGGAAGACCCAGGTGGGCTGGGCTAATGCACACTACTTTGTTTATATACCTCCAGGAGACATCTGATAACTTCGACAGCCTTTAAGTATTAAGATACGTAGATTTTAAATCCAACGTACACCAAAGCCTACTGTGCGAGTGCACGGGATAAGCAAACAACTAGAGAAACCTGGGTCAGACCAGCCGTCTACATCCCTAAAAGCCCCGTGAGAACTTCTCTGCTTCTTGGATTCAGGGCAGCCCAACCCTGGATTAGGCTGGGGAACTGGAAGTCCTCCAAGGCTGGAGGCTCCAATACTGGCTTTAGAGCTTTTTTTAAAAAAAATGTTTTTATTGATTTAGCGAGGAAGGGAGAGGGAGAGAAACATCCATGATGAGAATCATGGATCAGCTGCCTCCTGCACGCCCCCTGCTGGGGATCAAACCTGTAACCCGGGCATGTGCCCTGGCCGAGAATCAAACCATGACCTCCTGGTTGATGCTCAACCACTGAGCCACACTGGACGGGCATAGAGCTTTTCTTAAAAAGAACAAAAACCCACAGAATGTCTTTCCTTATATGACACCTACAGGCAGTTAGAAACTTTGCTCCTTATTCATTTTTAGCCTCTTGTGGTAAGGGAAGCAGTCCCAGGAGTAAAATAAATGAGGAGAAAGACTCTGCCATGTTAGATTAGGAGGTGATGTGGCCAAGGAAGGCACTTCAAGTTAGGAGGCTGGATCTGACGCTGTCCCTGGGGTGCTCTGGGCACGCTACCCAGTCTGGTCTGGGCTCCATCACTCATCTGTGGAAAGTGATGCTGACTGAGCGATGGAGTTGAGCGGAAGGCTGGCAAACAGCAGGTGGACCACAAGTGCTCACCCCTCTTCCTGTCCCCCGTAGAGGGGATGCCTGTGCATCTGAGAAGCGGGGGCTACATGGCACCATGAAGTCTGCACAAAGCAAGTGCCCTCAAAGCTCCGCTGCAGGGTGGCTCTGTCCCATCTGCTCACTTCTCAGCAGACCACTGCAGCCGACCGCCTCCACGTCCCTTCAGTGGAGAGCTCAGTGCAAGTACACATGCACACGGGCTCCAGGCATGCTTACTCAGGGCTCACTGGGGCTGGCCTGGCATCCTCTCAGAAGTCTGTTTTGGGAGACAATAGTAAAAATAGCAGCAGGTCCTTCTTAAGACTTAAAACTGAAGCGAGGAAGGTCTGAAGGTGTTCCCAGTAAGCACGGGGCCAGTAAGGCAGGAGTGTGGGGATCTGGGCTACAATTACAGTCCCAGCTGGGGGACTTTACTGACAACCCTTGAGCTCTCTATCACATCTAAAATGGAGATACCACTTGCCCTTCAGTCCTTATATAATTCCTGTGAGCTAAAGTGAGGCGGCTTTTCAGAGGCACCCAGAAATGTTAAGGGTAATATTCTAAGGTCGACCATTACTTGCTGCCACAGTCCAGAGGTAAGAGGTCGAGTTGCCTGGAGTATGTATGACACTTTCTCCACGAGAGCCATCCCTTTGCCCAGGACCCCTTCACAATCCTCTTCTCACCCCTGGATCAAGGCCCCGGGTGCTCATGGGAGGCTGGAGGTCTTGTTTCAGTCAACCAACCTCAGCCTAGGCTACCATGGCAATGCCAACCGGTCTCTTCGCCGTAAGCATTCGTCCACTCACTCATGCATTCATTCATTCATTCACTCACTCATTCATTCAACAAAATACTGGCTAGGAAGCAGGAAAGCATAAGGGTTCAGAACTCAAACTGCCTGGGCTTGAATCTAGCTCCTCCACTTACTAGCAGAATGATCTTGGCTAGTTACATAATCTTGCCTCAGTTTTTGCTGTAAAATGCAGGTAAACTATCAAAGGGAACCAGTTTGTGGCGTGGGTGGGCAGTCGCAGAAGTCAACAACAGCAAGGACTGGCGAAAACCAGGTCAATCCAAGATGGAGGAAAAACTGATCAGAGACCAACCCCAAAGCTCAGACCTTCATTATAATGAAAACTGACAGGGGGCCAAAGCCACGGCACTTCAGAAAGGACCATATTTGAGTAGGAACCAGGTCCCCCTGCCCCAACCAGAGGCAGAGGCAGAATTTGGCACCAAGTTCAGAAACAACCCAGCCTTGGGAACACATCAATACATCCCAAGCACTGACTGGCCCAGCGCAGCTCACTCTCGAGTCTGCTGTGGCCACTGGGATGTGCACTTGCGCTTCTTTCGCAGGCGCCTTCCTTCCCAGATGCCCACACAGGACTGCACAACCAGGGCAGCAGTGGGTGCAGTCAGCTCCGGGCTCACCCTCACCCTGTCTCCAGGGACCCCGACCTGGCCTCTTTTTCTCAACCTAAAGAAAACCTGCTTTCCTTCTCACTCGGACTGGCTCTTGGATTCTCTCCCGGGTAATCAAGAACCTACAGGTGGTGGAGTCCATAGGGGTCCCACTTCAGATCTCCCCCCCTCGACCCCTATCTCCCCACCCCTCCCCCACCCTGCGTGACAGCAGAGTGGCAGGATCTGCTGTGCTGAGATCAGAGAGCAGGAGCACAGCAAAGCAGAGGCAAGCAGCTATGGGGCTATGGGGCCGTGCAGCAGGGGGACCATGGCTTCAGACCAGACTGGCTTCTTTGTTCAGCAAACCTCCATCACTCATGCCTCACATGCTGCCTTTGAAGGCTTTCTCATCATCCACTCAAAACTTTACAAATGACTGTTCAAATCTTCCCTAAGTGCAAGAAACAGGAACATGAACGAAGCACAGGCTCTGGCTCAAAGGCTCCGTGCACAGTAAGAGAGGCCAACATGAACAAAATTAAAGAACAGTACAAAACAGACGTCTGAACAGGAATGCACCAGTCACTCAGAGGAGAAAAAGAATTAACTCTGGGGGAAGGGGAGGGGTGATGGTGGTAGCTATCAGAGAAGGCTTCCAGATAATAGGGGATTTTAGAAGGGTTTTGTAGGCTGAATAGGAGTTAGTGGCTTATCACTAACAGGGTGCTTTGCAGATAACTGGTGCTCAATAAAGGGCTGTTGAACTGAATTTAATGGTTTTGCATCTTGGAGCTTCGACAGGAGTAGAACAACATTGTAACCAAGAGAGGCCTTATAAACACAGAATGAAACATAAATAGTAATTTCCAATCTGGTTAATGAGCCCACTCAGAACACAGAACAATTATTTCAACCAGTCACCAAATTTCCCTAAATTTGCTTGACTATTCTGAAAACTTCCTGCAGTAATTGCAATGAGAAGGGTTTATTAACACAAATTTATAGAAAAAGCAATGTTCTGAACAAATGAACACAACTTATTGCAAAAAAGTTAAGGGTGCTGCTGCTTTTGTAACAAAGGCTAAGTGACAGCAATGGTGACGATGTTATTCAAAAAATACCAAGAGAGCTAGAGAAGAGGGGGTGGGCTCCTCCCCAGAGAGAAGCCCTCGGTGGAGGGGCAGTCCCTCCCTTGGGTGTAGAGGATGGGGTCCTTTCCACAAGCTACCCCGTCCAACCAAACCCTTAACAGGGTTACTACATCCATGACAGATCAGGTGCAAACGGATTGTCTGGAACCAAAAAGACAGGTTCAGATATAGATCTGGAGGCAGGATTAAGAGTAAGACCAGGAATCTGTGAAAAAAAAAGGAGGGGAGTGGGGACAAGTTCTAGGTCATGAAATTGGGGTTCAGGCCAAGTTCGGCCAGTTATTTGAAGGGTAAGGGGCACATTTGCTATTTATGTCACAGCTGGAAATCCAGGAACAGAAGACGTGCTCAATAAATACTGACTGACTGACCAGATTTAACATATCTCGGTTGCCTGTTGGCACCCACCATTCTCAGCCTGTGTTGTCCTCAAAAGGAGTGAAGTCCGTCCACGGGTGCCCCTGGGGCTGATCTCAGTGATGGGAGAGTGTGTTCCCCGCCTGGGCAACAGAGAAGGTGGCTGGGAACTAAGCTGCGGTGACTGATCTCCAAGAACGATCTCCACGCATGTAAACCTCTCACATTCCATCTCCTTCGACTGCTAGGCGTCGGCCCAGGAGAAAGGAAAATGTACGTCCACATGCACGTGAATGTTCACAGCAGCTAGATGGTGGGAACAGCCCAAACGTCCACCAACCGGTGAATAAACAAATTGCAGTACATCCATACAAGGGGATACTAGTCTGCAATGAAGAAGGAATGAGGCACGGATCCATGCTAATGTGCATGAACCTAACATTATGCTGAGGAAAAGAAGCCAGAAGTCCCCAGCAAAGGCACATCTACAGAGACAGAACAGATCAGCACTTCCTGGGGCTCGGGTCAGGGAGCAAGGACCGAATGCAAATAGGCACAAATGAGCTTTTCGGGGTGATGAAGCTATCAGGCTAGACTGTCAAGGTGATGGCACAACTATCAATTTATTAAAAAAAAAAAAAAACCAACAAAACTGAATTGCATCCTTGCAAGGAGTGAATTTTAAGGTTTGACAACTATACCTCAATGAGGCTGTTTGAAAAACACACCTTGGTTAGTTTCTGGGCTCCTTTAGTGGTGAGTAGCTAAGGCCTTCAGAGAATTTATTCTGTGTCAGGCACTGTCTTAGCCCTAAACATGTATTTATTAATCTACTGATTCCTCCACCAGCCCTAAGGGGTAGGGAGTATTACCCCCAATGCACATAAGAGAAATAGCAGTGAGGTTAGGAAACTTCGCTGCTTAATCATTATCTGCTTTGGGATCAGCAATGGCTGGGCAAAGAGCAAACATTCCTCACACTAGTGATAACCTCTTCGCTTTTCAATTCCTTTTCTTCTTGCCCTGCAGCCTGTCACCTCCACTGTTCAGCCACTATCCAGATTCACCACCAGCTGTGCCCTTACTCCCCAGGGGTTCAAGATGGGCTCCAATGAGCCCATTTCCTGGAACTAAAGCTGATTCCACAGTGGCTCCTGGAGTTAACTCGTTTTTTCTTCCCTATCTCCAAAACGCTTCTCACGTGACTTACACAGGGCTTTGCAAAATAACATGAGCACAATCGCCCTCCATATATACAGGGTCTATACCGCAAGCAGAAAATAGTGTCGAAGAGCATAGGTATGGATTTCAGAAACCAATCTGAACATTCCTTTACAAGAACCCGTTTACTCTCTGGCCCAGGAAATGCACACTGAGAGCCCTCACAGCCTGGACCCGCTCAGGTGCGGGAAGACAGTGCTCTTGGTCTCAGATCACCAGGGATTGTGGCCTGTCCACCAACCTCTGCTGCTGGAGACAGGACCTCAGTTAGAGAGACTACTTAAAAGAGCTTGCAATCCAAATCGGCATTTTAGTACAGCGCAGGGGAGGCAAGGACATTGAAGGGAAAGCAGGCGGTTTCCCCGGAGCCAGGATTCTTTCTGTTGGGGGCTCCAGCAGGCTGGGCGGGGGTGGAGGCAGGTTCCTGTTGCCAGCAGCTCCACCGCACGCTGCAGCCCGGGCTCTCGCAATTGCTGCCAATCGGCTCCCTCTGCTCCCACTGCCCGGGGATCCGATGGGCCCTTTGAAAGGGCTCTGGGATGAAAGCTTCCTTGTTCCCCGCAGATCACAGGAGGACTTGCAGGCAGAGATCAGCCTAATTAGAGCTGCGGCCCCTGGGGAAGCATGAGGGGCTACCACCTCTTCAGAGCTTGAGGTTTCTTGTTCAAACCAGACACACCGCTCTGAGTCCCACTGCTCTTTGTATATGGCTCTCTAGCTGCAAACACAAGGAACCCCAAAGCTCCGGCTGGGGCCAGAGGTGGTCATTCCAGGCAGAGGACCCATCTGCCAGCCAGTGGGGCTCTGGCTTCACCTTCCCCGCGGAGCTGGGAACTTAGGGCATCAATGAAACCCTCAGAGGTTTCATTCAGAACAGCCCCTTTACTGCTTTGTGCCGCACCGGGAGATGCTTAATAAGAAACACCTGGAAGATGCTTAGAGTGATTTTCCCAAACCCCAGTCTGACAGCATCACGGCCCTCACCTGGCCGTAAAGCCTTTACTTCCTGTTGTCCAGGATCAAATCTGAAATCTCCAGCTGAGCCTCAGCGTCGTTGTATGATCTGCCTCCTCCTCCAGCCTCATCCTTCATACCGTCTCGCTCTTCAGCCACAACTAAACTTCCAATAATTCACCTCCATTTCTCTTCGTTTTTTCCCTCCATCCTCCCCATAGCCCCAGTCTGCCTCTAGGACTCATCTTTTGCCAATGCCTTGGGAGAGAATCTCTGAGCCAAGCACCCCAAAGCATCCTGGTCACATCACTATCACAGGGCGTAACCTACACCAGAGGTGTGGCCTGTGGCTCTAACTGGCTTCTCTGTGACAACTGAAGCTACCTGAGGACAGGGGCTAGTTCTTGGACATCTTTTCTTTCCCAACTCCCAGCACATGGCCGGGAGTCCCCAGCACAGGGCTGGGGGTTCACAGCACACAGCTGACATCTTTACAGAGCGGATGAATGAACAGCAGCAGGCAAGAAAGAGCTCTGGGTGTCTGTGAGTCACAGAGCTCTGCGGAGAAGTCCCACCCAGGAGGTGGAGTGAAAGGGCAGTTTCACCAGCATGTCTAAGTGACCTGTTTTCCAATCACAGGTCCTTCCTAGTACACATGAAAAACAAAACAAACCAAACTCAGCCTCTCACTCATTCATTCCTTCAATGGGGAGTTATAGTGCACCTACTGTGTGCCAGGCAGAGGCCCAGGCACGTGGCATTGAGAGGTGAGCAAGCCAGCATGGCCCCTGCATTAGGCAGTTAGCAAGGTTTGGGGAGTGTGGCCTTTGTGTCCGAAAGGAAGCCGGGTAATAGATTTACAGAGAACAGGCCACATAAGGACTTTTAAGGACTAGCTGGGATTCAAGAGTCTTAGGATAGAAAGAAATAAAAATGTTTGAATAAACTTGATAAAGAGTCTTTTCGCTTGTGGTGGTGAGTAGCCCTTTTCCCTGAGAGGAAGTGGAGACAGGAGAGGAGGAGGTGAGGTTCAGGAGCGGGGATCCTGGTAGACCCTCAGGAAGCCTCCCCTGCCGTTGGTAAGAGCCCTCTTAAAACTCACTGCCCAGGAGGTCACAGAGCCCCTCCCCACTTCAGGAATGACCCGAGCTGCCTGAGTTGAGAACATGGGCAGCGCAGCTCTGGGCCACCTGCTGTGGCCGGGCCCCGCAATGCCGTGGGTGCAGCCTGAGCTCCTAGCGGCCCAGCATCAGCCTTGAGTCCAGGGTTGTGAGCCCTGTGAATGTGTGTGTCCAGAGGATGGGGCTACTCCTGCCACCTCCCAGGATGACGTGAGAATTAAATGAGATGGTGACCGTGGCATACACGGCAGAGAGTTTGTAGGCAAATGGCTGTGAGGGTCAGGATGATTATCCTGTCATTCATAATTTAGGTGTCATACAAAAACTGAAGGATAATAATTCAAATGCTTAGCTCTCGTGGTGAAGTCTGATGGGTAATACTGTATAACGTATTATAATAATAAAACACTTATGTAAGAATACAATATTACACATGCTATAATGTATGAGCAATCAGCATATTAGTTTGCATTTATTGAGCACTGTGCCAGCCCTGGTCTAAGCACTTCCCATGTACTAGCTCACATTTAATGCCCACATCAGCCCTAGCCATTCTATTACTATTCTTATTTCAAAGGGGAGGAAACTAAGTAACACACCGAAGTCATAGGACCAGAAAGTGGTGGTGCTGGGATTGGGGCCCAGGTGGCTGGCTGCAGAGCGTGCCATCCCGTGCCCCCCCCCCCCCCCCAAAAAAAAATCAGAAGCCCAGACTGCCGCCCTGCAGCCTCCGCCCCCAGCTCTCCCTGTCCGGCAGCAGCACAGGCTTGTTCACAGCTCACCACGCCGTCAACCCAAACCGTTCCTCTGAAGCCTACACTGGGCCCGTGGTCTTGGCCTCTTACATCTCAATGTACCGTTTCCATCTGAGGCTGCACAATCCTCACCCCCTATTGTGTAAAGGCTTCTTGATCACCCCAAGGCCTCTGCTTTGCCCTTGAAGAGGAGCCCCTATTTCTGGACTCTGGTCAAGGAGTTCATACTCCGCTACCCACAGAGGCTCTCGGTCTGTCTATTTCTAGCTCCGTGTTGCTTTTGAAGCCTAAGGAATTAAAATGTTACAAATGAGAGCAGTGACAAGCTTGGCCTTTACTTCCATGAGCACGGGCCACAGCTTCCACACTCTGATAGAGTCATGGGACTTGCGAACCCTCCCCCACCCCACCCCCTGGTGTGCGAATACAGTTCTGCTTTTATCTGCTTTATATAACTTAGGTTTCATGTCAAGTTTCACTTGAAAAGGGGTCCTGTTTTAAAAGATGTTTGAAAACCATCTGGATGTTTGAGAAGTCCTAACGTATTTGGAATGACAGGACATTTATTAAAGGAATGCTTAGAAACCACAGGCTCCCATCCTGACCTTACTTAGGGCGAGGAATGACCACAGGCAAGACCAGGGAGCTGTCTCATTGTCCCCTCCCCACCAGGTCTTTGTGACGCCTCTCAGAGCGTGGGCAGATGCAGGTCTGATGGTCAAGCGGGTTTTCATCTTGACCATCCAGTTTCTTCCCTCAGTTCTCATTTGGCCTCCACTGTCTAAAGAACATTCTTCCCCCAATGACAGACTGACTCCCCGGGTGACCATGACAGAGCCTGCTTCAGAATCCCCCAAAACCATTATCCAGCCTCTGGAGTCTTTCAAATCAGGAAAAGGACCCCAGAAACATGGTGCACCCTTAACCGTTCATGAGAAGCCTCCTGGGTAACAGGAAGCAGGACACGGAGACATAGGGACTTCCGGAGAGCCTCACCTGCTTCTCAATGAAGGCGTTGATTCTCTGCAGCACCCCCTCACATGTGAACTCATACGGCATGTACGGCTCGATCTGTGGACACAGAATACGGTATCACAAAAGAGGGAGACACAGAACAGGCAACACCCAGTCCTCCTCGGACTCACACTCAGTGCCGATGCCTGTGTCAGCCTCTGAGGGGCTACAGCTATGAACTTGGAAGTCAAGAGTCCTGGGTTCACACACTCACTGCTCCTTACTAACTGTGGGACCCTGAGCCACTTACCTTACGTCTCTGAGCCTCAGGGTTTCATGTGTGAAACAGTGATGAGAAAAACCTATCTCTTCGAAGCTGTGGTGAAGACTATATAGGGGGAGAGGGGAGTAAGCATTAGTTCAGTGCCCAGCACTGAGTAGGCATTCAGCAAATGGTGGGGAAATTCCCTTCTAGAAGGTAAGCCCCTGGGGCAGCATCTGTTGCTGCTCTCAGTGCCAAGTAGTGTGGCACCTGTGTGGACTCAACATGCACTCAAACATCTGCTGAATGAATGCATGCCCACTGCTCTGAGAAAGGCCTGCGATGAGTGGTTTAAGGCCCCACCACAGTGACAAAAGCATTGTTCTACTTTTGTAGGTGAGACTGACATGTGGTGAAAAACCAGAGTGTACATAGTGCCACAAAGAGTTCATGTAGAGGGTCCTGGGAGGCTGGAAGGCCAAAGCCGACTTATACTCAGGCTGAGCTTTTAAGGTCAGCTAAGATTCCAGCAGGCCAAGGTGTGGAAGGTATCCTCAGCATAGTAAGTGATGTGAGATTAGACACTGAAGAAAACAGCAGGCGGGTAGAGCTCAGGATCATGGAGTCTGGAGACAAGGCTGGGAAGAGGTTCACGGGATTTCCACGAAAGCCTTGTGATCACTAGGCTAAGGAGCCAGGCTGTGAGGGTAGCCAGAGACACAGAGGGGCTTTGTGGGGTGGGGGAGGCAGTCTGATCAATCATGTGACACCTGTGGGAAGGGACACAATGAGTTTGGTCTCTGCTGCACAGAGAGACCAGGTCTCTGTGTGACAGCTTCAGAGAGCCCCACAGCACTGTCAACAATGGAACAGAGGGCACCTTCACCATTGCCTTCTTAAGTCTAAGTCTATACTTCCCTATCTTGAGTCTACTGGGTAGAGGAATTGGACAAGACATCTACGAGTTGAGGCCGGCTGAAAATGGGACAACTGACCCAGAAGACAGCCTTCTGTGAGCACGCAAAGCAGTTGGTCTCAAGGTATCTTCTTCCTTTTGTGTGTGTGCTGATTTACACACTACTTTTGAAATCTTCAACCATGATTGTTAATTTCATGACATATCTTCAAGCACACAACCAAATGGCGCATCACACAAGACAAGTTGTATCTCATCATCCCTACCCACATCCATCCAGACAGAACTGAAAGAGGCTCAGCGTAAGTATTATAACATCAGTGCATGATTATTCTACAAGAACAGACGTCATTCTGTGCCAAGATAATTCATTTCCAAAGAGTTCAAAACACTTTGAAAAACTGACTTCCCTTGTGTCTTCTCATCTCAAGCTTTTGCGCTTGCTATGTCCTTTCAAACCCAGATGTACGTAGCCCTTCATACCAAATATAAACCTTTCTTTTCTTATTTACTCAACCAATGGATGATTCCAGAAACATTCTATAAATGGAAGTTAATTAATTCAAAGGGCTCAATGCAATACAGAAAAATGGCTCTTCCTGTGTCCTCCTAGCAACCAAACTCAGATAAGCAAAGGGAGGCTGACTCATTCATTGCTCTGTGGTCCTATTCACTGTTTTAAAAGATTCATAGCCAAATAATTTTACTATAAAGGAAAAGCAAAAAACAAAAATGGTATCTGTAAGCCATCTCTGCCACCCTGAGTTGCACTAGCCACCTGCTGTGGATGGGAGCAGGGCTTCTTCGTGGGAAGCTCTCCAGAAACTTGGTTTCGGGGCTGAAAAACACAAGCCTCCCATGTAGAGGCTGCTAGGAAGGTTTGAGGTGTGTGTGTGTGTGAGAGAGAGAGAGAGGGAGAGAGAGAGAGAGAGAGAGAGAGATTCTGCATGACAGTCCTTTGGAAAACAAGTCAAGGCCTCTTTGAGGAGTGGAATGAAAGGGAATGCTGGTATCACATCCAGTCACGGACAAACTCAAGCAGGGCCATCGTGGAGAAGCGGGAGAAGGTCTTGGTCATGTTTGGTGGAAATAGGGCTGTTACTCATATGGCCACAGGAAGGGTGCCTGCTGGCCACACTGTGTGGTTCCTGCTGGCTTTGGGAACTTCCCATTATCTCCCCTCCTTCTCCTCCATTTTCTCTCTGGGCTTCAACCTGGATAATTTCTATTAAGAAGTCTTCAAGTTCACTGATATTTTCCTCTGCTGTGTACTGTCCAATGATAAGCCCACTGAAAGAGTTCTTCATTTCTGAACCTATGTTTTCAGTACCAGCATTTTCTCATTTGGCTTTTAAAAAGTTTCCAGCTCTCTCCTGAAATTCCCCCTCTCTTCACTTATGCTGTCCACCTTTTCACCAAGTCTTTTAATGTACTGATCTTAGCATTTTAAAGGGGATATATGATAATTCCAACTCCTGTGCTATCACTAGGTCTGATTTTATTCATGTTTCCTCTCTTAATGATGGGTCATGTTTTCTTGCTTTTTTATTGTTGTGTAATTTTAAATCTTGTAGTTATAGATGAGAAGGCTTGGCGCCAGATTTCTGATCCATTTCTAACAAGTGGAAGGGTTTCAAAGATAACAGTTTTGGTATTAATCTCATTCCTTACTTCATCTCTCTTTCCTACCTTATCTTTCCCTTTACTGTACTTCATTAAATGATTTTTGTTTTAAATCTTAACAAACTAGTCTAAAAAACCTAGGGGTCAATCCAGGTTTTACTACTTATTAATTGTGTGATCTTGAGTAAATTACTTAATTTCCTTAAATCTTAATCTTCTCAAATGAAGAAGGATTGAATGGGATGAAGCTCATAAAGGCATACAGAAAGACTCTACATGTGTAAAAAGAGGTTCTCTCTGTATCAGCTACTATTATAATTACTTGTTTTCCATTAAGTGGCCTACATAGGTTAGAATAAGATGAAAAAGGCTGATCAGGATTCTACAATGTGAAGCACTGAAGTTCCATGGAGTGAACAGGGCCAGCATCACGTAGGAGTGAGCAGATGGAATTCAGTGCCCACACCTAGTGCCTTATGTAGCAGACATTCATTCCCCTTTGACTTTTGTTTTACTAAAGGAAGACTCCATGATCCACGATTTTCTGCCTCTACATTAGCTTTTAAATTACTCCTCTTAAAGGAGATGGGCACTTAACTAAGTATGTGGGTTGTATGAAGTCCCCGAAAATATATGATGAAGTCCTACCTTCCAGTACCTGTGAATGTGATCTTTTTTTGGAAACAGGATCTTTGTAGATGTAATTGAGTTAAGATGATGTCATCCTGGATTTGGTGGGCCTTAATCCGTATGACTGATGTCCTTTTAAGAAGTAGAGAAGACACACACACACGAACTGCCATGTGATGACTAAGATAGAGGTTCAAGTGCAGCAGTGAAGTCAAGGAACACCTGAGTCACCAGAAGGTGGAAGACACAAGGAAGGGTCCTCTACTAGGGGCTCTGAAGGGACCATGGACATGCCAACATCTAGCCTCTAAAATCGTAAGGAAATACATTTCTGTGGTTTAAGCCACTGAGTTTGTGGTTATTTGTATGGCAGTCCCAGGAAATGAATTTACTAAGTTACCGGGAGACTCAAGAAAGAAGGAAGCCCTTCCATCCCCATGGGCATGCCTTTCTGCTGAGGCTTTTGATGTGCTGCACTTTCCAGAAATCTCTCTCCACTTGCACTCCTCAATTGTTTGCATGCTGTTATGGGCACAGAACATAATCTGCAAACATCTATTCCTCCCTCTCTCCATCCATCAGGTATGCTGGATTTTGAGGATATAAGAGTGAGACAGATATAGTCACTGCTTTCATGTTTCTTAGAGTCTAGTGTAAATCCAGACTATCAATGACAAAGATAAGGACAGTATGTAATACTAATATTGACTTAATAATACTAACCAATAGCATACCAGGTGGTAGACTCTGCACTTAAGCTCTTTATATTCACTAAATCTTCACAACTGTTCTCTAAAGTACATAATATTAGCCTATAACAAAGAGAGGAAACTGAGACTCGAAGGTTAAATAACTGCCTGAGGGGGTGCTGCTGTACGTGGTAGAGCTGGAACCTGCACCCCAGCTGTCTGATTACAGTCCTTCTCAGCCACGCCCATAAAGCTTCTCTTAAAAAATTACAATAGGAAAAAGTGCTCTGAAAGGATGAGTACAGGGGAAGGTACACCCAATAGAGTCCAAGACATTCCTGGGGGTGGGAGAGAGAGTAACTTAACCCTTTCCTACATGGTGGAAGCTTCCTACAGGCAGGCAGCCAGCCTCAACCATGTTCATGGAAGTGGGCATCCCCTAGAGTGGCTCAGAGGGCGCTGAGTGTGCAGAAGGGACTTAATAAATGTCTGCTGAATTGATCAAGAGAGTCCAGAGGTGTTAGTTACTTATACAAAATTCTAGAAAATGTTTAGGTAGAAAAGCCAAATAAATAGATGCTATATCAAAACATGTCCCAGTATTTCCTTAAATATTCCTTATCCTCACTGTTTTTGTAGAAGAGCAAGGTTATCTTTTCGGGTCTTTGTGAGAGCTACATAATTAGGTCACTAAGTAAGTCCTATAATTTGAGCTCCTATTTCTGTGTCTGGGATCCAGGAGTCCTGTCACAGGGTTTGTAGAACCACACACATGTGGACACCAGCTCTGTTTCCACTTCACAGAACACCCATGAGGTCCCCAGGCCACGTCCTACAGCTTGGCTATTTTCTGATTCCAGAGTTAAGCTGACACGGAAATGTTCTCATTGGTCAAAGGGCCTGTGATACTTCCCACACTTTTCAGTTCACATTACAAATGTGGGGGATTGGGGCGGGGAATGAAATAAAAGAAACAACCTTCTGACTTAGAATTGCTTTCACTGCATCCTCCACTTCCTTCTGATTGTCAAGGTCAACAGTCCAGACGTGGGGCCGGCCGATGAAAACTTCAGCATATGGATGCTGAGATGTCAGCTAAAAAAGAAAAGACAAAACCTCAGTCTCACACACTTTTAAAAAAAAACCTTCTGTGCTAGATGAGGTGTTAGGCTTTTTATGGTACCAAATTGCACTTGCACAAGTAACAAGATACTTGTTCTGCCCTTCCTTGGCCATCAGAACCTCCTAAGTAAACTATTAGTAGGTAACAATAAACCATTGAGCTAGTGGGATATTTCTTGGGCCCACCCAAAACATCTGGATGCGTAGGCAAGGCATTAACAGGTACAGATAAGGAAACTGAGTCAGCGTCATCCTAACAGGTTCATGTGGGATGTTTTAAAAGATAGATGCCCAGGGCTGTCCCGGACCCTTTGAGATGGGACCCCAGGACTTTGGAGGGGCTCCTGGAGGTTCTGGGATGGGTGGCATGTTGGCCATGGCCTTGCCAGAGGCGGTGAGGTCTGGGAGGCAGACCCGGCAATGGCTCCACATCTCGAATCCCACTCGGAAAGAAGAGCTGGCATGTCATAACCAGGAGGCATGGAGGAAGTCACAGTGACTTCAACCCCCAATATCGCACCAAGAAATAATGAAGGTTTACTACCTTCCATCATATCGCAGCCCTGAAATCACCCAGATCAATCCTGTCTGAGTTAAAAGACACTGCTTAGGATAGACAGGTAAGCACAGGAAAATTACAACAAGGCCTTAAAGTCATAGGAGATGAGTGATGGTGACAGACAGAACTAATGCTGCCAGAAAATCAGGGGATTTGGGATGGTATCAGGAGTAATCATTAGCACAATGAAGACTCTATTTTTATGAAGACAATATGGACTCAGAAAAGCAAGGTAAGGTTTGCTCCAAAGAGGGCTTTGTTTTGAGAAGAAAGGGTGTCCAGAGAAACCCAGTATGAACGCTGGTGATTCTCAGATCTTAAAGAGCCCATTCTTCGAGACAGGTAAACTCACCCCTCTAATGAGTTTTCAGCTTTATTCTTGTTTCCCTTTAAGGTTATGGTGTGAAGAGGCATTCTTGGCATTTGTGGGAGCATTTTCAGTTCTCACGAAGCCTGGGGGTGCCATCTGTACTGGGTAGGTGAGACCAGGATGCCAGGCACCTGGTGATGTGCACGACAGCTGTGCGCAGGGCAGAGCGTCCACTCCCTGCACAGCTCTCACCTGCCTAGTGGGCTCTCCTGTGGGTTCACAGCCCTGACTCTTTGGCACAGCTGTAATATACACCAAATTTGCTTGGCACACAACCGCCATGTAAATCAGGGATGCTTGTATGCTGTTTTATTTGGAACGCCACCAATAAGCCGTATTGTTTCAGAAAAAAAACGGCAGCACAAAGTCAACTTCACTCGGAGGATTTGAACCTCCAGTATGCCATTCCCTAATCAGTCTGCATTTGCAGCCACCCCGTTAATGCCAACTGTGTATGGATGTGGCTATATATATAGGAACTTTTTATTTAGCTCCTCTTTCACGTTAGTTATAAGCAAAGAGCTGATGAGATTTGGCTGCATGTTTTATTTCTCTTAAATACAAACTTATTCCTAGAGGGAGGAGTGAATGTCACGTGTCTTCTGTGTAGTTCTTGGGCACACATTAGTATTTCTTGACTACATGCACACTGAAATACGTATTACCTTACTGTAAATTATTTTGCTTTCATTTCTTCCTTATATTAGAGTTAGAGAATCCTTTTTAGAAATTGTATATGCAGGCAAAGCATATTATTTACATATTTCACTTCAGGAGGAGAAAAGTGGATGTTCTATTCATTGTGTAATAAAAGGAGGCACTGGGCCTGTTGGGGGCAAGGCCCCGTGCGTGGAGGCCACGCTGGCTCCCCCATATGCTCAGAGGATGGGATTGAACCGGCGCCTCTCATGGCTTGTGTCACCGTTCTTTGTATCCTACCACACAGATAGTGTGCACGAACGACTCAGGTGGCCAAGTCAGAGTCTCAACCCCAGGCCCGCCCTGGTGCCCGAGGTGCAGGCACACCAGACTTCACTCGCCTCCTCTGCGGAGTCGCGCCCCTCGCTAGCTTGCTCAGTTCTCCTCCCCGCCAACACCAACCCTCTTCTGCTCAGACTCCTGGTGAGGAATAGAACCCACGGAATGCCACAGGCTGGGAGCTACGGAAATAGCATTCGCTTCCCTCAGCACATACTGTAGGTTTAGTACATGTGGATGAAGCCAGGCACCGTGCTCATGGCTTGGCATGCATCAGTTCTCAGGTTTCCCGTGTATCCAGGAGGGCTGTGAGGCCTAAAGGCGGTAACAACTGCAGCTACAAAGTGGCTGAGCAAATTCAAATCTAGACCCTTCAACAACTTACTGGCTTTACACAGAAAGGAAAGTGATGATATTAAAAGATGCTATTGGGTTCTTAAGACAAAGACCAAACAAAATCCAAGGTAAACACCAGTCTCTCCATCGCTCTCTTAAAACTTGCCAACCTAAAAGAAATCCCCGACTGAGCGTCTATCTGTATTAGACCTTTTCTGACAACAAGCAAAATGTCACAGCGTGTTCACTTTGTGGCCCAGAACGAGCTACATCGCTGGTCCTTACAGTGGAAGCAGGGTGAGGTCAGGCTGCCACGTGTACACCAGTTAGCCACTCACACATCAGCAGTCTCTCCCTGCCCTTTGCAGGCCCCTGCTTATTTACAAGGCTGTTCTAAGTACTTGGAAAATACAAAATGCAGAGCCATTATAACCTTATGCATTTGCGTTTATTGAGGGTTACTTAATTTTAGGAGTAAGGCATTTTGTGATTCATTATTCCCCCTCTGAATGTTATGTTCCTTCTTGTTAATTTATTGAGAACCGTCTGATCTAAGTTACTTCCTTGTATATCAATCAGTAAATTTACTGGAGTACAGTTTGTAAAAGTAATGAAAATGTTATTAAATGTGAGACATTACTTCAGAGCGGCTATTAAATCTCCAAGGAGGACATAAGTTCCCTTTATGGGGAAAAAAACCCACCAAAAACCCCACAAAAAAATAAAGACCCCTCCCCCTGAAGCTAGAGAATTTCTAATGGTTTACAAAATGCCATAAAAATGATTGAGAATCTACTAATATGTTTCCTAATATAAAGATAAAAATCCAATTTATACTACATTTAAAGTATACTGAGAGCCGACCACATTATTTCCGGCATTATGGAACTTTTTCTCCTCAACGGTTTTAAAAATTGGTCCAATGCAAAAAATAAAGACAAAGTTTTTTTGTTCTCTAAAAACAGAAGAATCTAGACATTTTCTTCAAATGAAGGCAAAGAAGAGACATGCAATTTATGTGAATCAATTGTTCTTAACTTGAAACTAGCATTGGTACAAAAGATAGCAATGTAATTATACGCACTTCAGTTAAAAATTTTCTATAGGGGGAGGGGGAGGTAATTTCTAGGGATTTTTGCTCCTTAGAAATCTGTAGAATTATTGATACCTGTTTCCCAATTAAAAGCGTCTTTGTTTAGGGAAATTCTGTGGCTTTTGTGAGCTAAAGGGACAGAGTGGGGTGCCCCCTCCAGGCCATGAGGTCAAGTTCACTGGCTCCTCTCAAGACGGTGTAATAGTGCTGGCTCCCATCTGCTCTCTGGGCTGAGGAGGAGCTGGACAGAATATGGAAACTGCCCTTCTGCATAACGTAAAGTGACCTTGGGTTTCCTTCCAACGTGTTAGCATTCATGTCCCTGAGGCTTGAATCCCACTCTTCTTCTTCCCCTTTAAAGCACAGCTCCTCCCCACCCTCCTCAGTTAACCCAGCACACCCTCCACCTGGCACAGCTCCAAGGTAGCTTCCTGCCTTCACTGACTTAACTACACTAGTATATTTATACATTTCCATTGATTATGCAGCGACTGGTACCATGGACCCTGTAGGGCCCCATGCACACCTGCCAACTGACCTTCTGCATCCCGGGCCTCCCTGCGAGCCAGGACCAATGAAGTCACCTGTGTGAGGTCACCCGAGAGCCAGGACCAATGGAGTCACCTGTGTGAGGTCACCTGAGAGCCAGGACCAATGGAGTCACTGGTGTGAGGTCACCTGCTAAGCGACCGCTGAAAGATCCCACAGAGCCACTGTAACCAGTCTCATCTCTGAAGGGCCAGGAGGAACTAAATGACTGGGGGCAGCTACAAGGCCTGTCTCCTTTTAAGTAATGAAGAATGAAACCCTCCATGATCTCAACAAAAAGCAAATTACTAAATGGTGACACCTGATAGAAAATAATGAACATACTTTTCTCAATAACTTCATACTGCTAATCTGGTCTCTGGAATCCTATGTAATAAAAGCCTAATATGCTAAGTGTCTGGTCGACCAGTCAGTCATTCAACCAATAAAAGCATAAAATGCTAATGATATGCTAAGGCCTCTCAATCACTTGCTATGACATGCACTGACCACCAGAGGGCAGATGCTCCCACCAGTAGGTTAGCTTGCTGCTGGGGTCCAGCCCATTGGGACTGCGCGAGATGGTCAGACACGTCCTGGAGCCCTCCCGTGGTCCCTTCCCAGCTGGCCAACCTCCCGCGTTTCTCCCCAGCCCCAATCGTGCACTGGTGGGGTCCCTTGGCCTGGACTGAGACCTCTCGCAATCCGGGGCCTCTCGGGGGATGTTGGAGAGACAGTTTTGGCCCGATCCCACAGGGGGAGCACTGCTCAGCCAGAAGCCGGGCTTATGGCTGGCGAGCACAGCAGCGGTGGCGGGAGCTTTCCCACCTCCACAGCAGCGCTAAGGATGTCCAAGGGGGAGCGGGCCTAAGCCGCCAGTTGGACATCCCCCGAGGGCTCCTGGACTGCGAGAGGGCGCAGGCTGGGCTGAGGGGAACCCCCCCCCCCCCCCCGCCGCCGAGTGCATGAATTTTGTGCACTGGGCCTCTAGTATTACATAATTCACTGGGAAATAGTTAGACTGTATTTAATTGTCCTACATTTGTTTTTGTTTGTTTTCTTCAGGAAAATGTACTCACTTGTAACAAAGTGGCATCAAAATCTTTAGAATTATCACTAATGAAAAGGTACCAGTTGTCAACACAGTCTAAGATCAATCATTTCTCAAAGGCTTGTCTATAAAAACTGCAGTAAGGAAAGAGATGGGTTTCCTTGCTTTTGATACATTAAAAAGAAATCATGATGAGGGAAAAGAAAATCACCATTAGAGCACCACAGTAATAGTTGCTGCAGGCAAGATCCACTGATACATGGTAAAAATAAATGGGCAAGCCCTGGTGGGTGGCTCAGTTGGTTGGAGCATCGTCCAGTACACCAAAAGGTTGGGGGTTTGGTTCCCGATCAGAGCTCATACTGGGTTCAATTCCTGGTCAGGGTATATATGGGAGGCAACCTCTCAATGTTTCTCACATCAATGTTTCTCTCTCTCTCTCTCTCTCTCTCTCTCTCCCTTTCTTCCTCTAAAATCAATTAAAAAACATATCCTCAGGTGAGGATCATAAAAAATTTAGATAAATTTAAATAAATAGGAGAACCAGGATATTTGTGCAAGTTCAGAGTATTTCCCCAATTACAAGACAAACAGCAACTTTATAGTTACTACTACTTTATATAGTTACTCCCTTAACCAAGTGATCAAGGTTAACGTCACTTGGGATAAGATGCACCCCTTATCTGATACATTGGAAAGGGCACAATCACTTCTGTGGTATTACTGCAAATATGTGTAGCCCTCACACTAATCATGAGAATACATCAGCCAAATCCAAATTGAGGGACAGTGTACAAAAACCTGACTCGCACTCCTCCAAAATGACCAGGTCATGGATGGCAAAGAAAGGCTGAAGCACTGTCACAGATTGGAGGAGCTAAGGAGAAACGACAGTTAAAATGCAATGTGAGGTCCTGGACTGGATCCTGGAACATAGGAAGGATATTACTGGAAAATCTGGTGAAGTCCATATAAAGTTTGTGGTTTAGATAATACTACGGTCCCAAGGTTAATTTCTTAGTTTTGATCATTGTACAATGGTTTTGTAATGTGTTACCATTAGAAGAAACTGAATGAGGATATAACCCAAACTCTGCAATTTTTGTAACTTTTCATTAAAACTAAAATTATTTCAAAAAAAGAAAAGAGTAAATTCCAACAATTCCACTTGTAGGTCTACACCCCAAAGAAGTACAAGCAAGGACTCCAGCAAATACTTGTATGCCAGTATTCAGAGCAGTGTTGTTCACAACAGACAAAAAGTAAAAAACCCAAGAATGGGAAAATAAAGTGTGGTATATCCATACAATGGAACATTATTCAGTCTTAAAAGGACATGATTCCATCCTAGCCTGTTTGGCTCAGTGGTCAAAATGTTGGCCCATGAACTGAAGGCTGTGGGTTCAGTTCTGGTCAAGGGCAAGTACCTCGGTTGTAGGCTTGAACCCCGGCCCCAAACAGAGCGAGTGCAGGTGGCAACCAATCAATGTTTCTCTCCCCCTCCTTTCCACTCTCTAAAAATCAATGGAAAAAATATCCTTGGGTGAGGATTAACAACAACAAAACAACAACAAAAAAAGTGGTTCGGATATATGCTTCAACATGAATAAACCTGGAAAACATTATGCTAAGTGACATGTACCAGTCACAAAAGGACAAATACTATACAATTCTACTTACATTCAGTATCTAGAATATGTAAGTTTATAGAGGCAGAGGGAATAGAGTTTACCTGAGGCTGTGCAGAGGGGAGAATGGGAAGCTACTGCTTAATTGGCACAGAGGTTCTGTTCGGGACGGTAAGTTCTGGAAACAATGACTGGTGATAGTTGGACAACACTGTGCATGTACTTAATGCCAGGGAATTGTACACTTAAAAATCTTAAAATGGTCAGTTTTACATTATGAACATTCTATCACAAAAATGTTTTTAAAACTTACAAATAATTATACACCTGGGCAGAAATAGAACTTCTGAGATTTCCTTCATCTAAATTAAAACACAGGGGTCATTTCTTAGCTCTTATTTTCTACCCCAAATGCCAAAGGTTTAAAGAAGTCAGTCACATGCCAAAGCAGAGGCTCCTAAATCCAGATGTTCTCACTGCTGGGAGCATCTTTTCAACCCTTTCCAAAGACTGTGCGTTCCCACAGCACCTGGCACACAGGTGTGTGTGAGTGTTGCTGAGGAATGACCTCTCAAAAAGAAACCACTCCCCAGAACGAAGAACTCAAATGTATTATACTAGCAGAAGGAAAAAGCAAGGGTGCACGCGCGCACACACGCCCACAGGGAGACCTTGCCCCAGGTTATCCGGGCCACAGGTTCATCTTTTTGAGGATAATCTACAGATCTTGTTACTTTTCCTCTATCTCCTTTGGCCATTTCAGCAATGATTTCGAGGGGCACAGGAAAGAATTCTCAAAATAACCAACTCTGTGAATTGATAAGATCACTGATCAGTAAAGAATAACCATGGAAAATGCATTTTAAGTGGTATTGGGGGTTGGGAGAATCGACCCAGAAATGTTCAGAGTGGCAGCATTGTACACTGAATGCTTTAGCAGTGCTGTGATATGGTGCTATGTCAGGGGAGCGCTGCCCAGCAGGTTATCCTAGGCCTAGGAGAAGGCCCTAAAGGACAAGGGCACAGCAGTGATGCCAATACTCAGGCTTCCTCCTTGCCAGCAGCCCACATGGCCGCTTACGAACTACATCAGAATAACAGAAAATCAATCCCATGGTTTCTTGCATGCACCTGTTTAGAACCAGTTGCATAAACACCCAGCTTAGTCACTCACATACTCCACAAGACTTCTGCTTATTGCCCCTAATAAACTCTGACTGCCTCCAATGGTGATTCATCACCCACTGTGGATTTTCAGGATGATCTCTAAAGGCACTTCCAATACAGCAAGGGTGGGGAACCTTTTCTCAGCCAAGGGCCATTTGGAATTTTATAACATCATTCTCAGGCCATACAAAATTATCGACTTAAAAATTATCCTGCTATATTTGGTCAAACATTTAGTTAACTCACCCCTGATGCCTTGGCAGGGCCAGACCGAATGATTTTGCAGTCCTTACCTGGCTCGCAGATCAGCCGTTCCCCACCCCTGTGAATAAAGCTTCTGCGAACAGCTGGGGCAATGGCAGGACTGCTTCTCAGGGTGGCGCCTGCTGACGGTGGCCTAACACACCAGATACATCACTTTGGTTACCCAGATGCATCCTGTTTCTCAAGATTGATGGTTTTTCAAGGACCTGCAGCCCACTTTTTAGCCCTCACAACTCACCATGGAGAGTAGATCTGTCAAAATACCTGTTAACCAGCCGACTTCCTTATTTCATAACAAACCATTCAGAAAATCAGAGTTCAGCTCATTCAGCTGGAGATGTCTGAATTAAGATAGAGTTGGGGCGGAATGAAAAAAATCCCACTTTGTGGAGGGGCAGAAATGGATTCAAATCCTGGCTGTAGCACCACCTAGCTATGAGATGCCACCATGTGCTTCATCTCTGAGCCCCTCACTCCGTCCTTCCACCCAACCATGTTCAATGAAGTTGGTAGCACCTACCATCCAAGGCTGTGAGCTTACATGGGCTCTTAGTACTGAACACATAGCTATTATCAAGTTATTGACAGTAGAAGGATTTTAAGAGATGCTTACCTCTCTCAAAGTTGGCTTGCCAATGAAAAAGTCTGTGTTTTTGCTGCTTTTGGGTGGGTTGAACTTGGGATTCAGAAAAGCACATCCATTTGCGATGGCCTCCAGGGGAGCTGGGCCCTCATAGGGGAACCCAAGGCCCACAAACAACTGTAAGACAGAAAAGCACACTGCATGTAAACACAGCAGTCAGAACTGGCATCCCTGCCCCTCAGGGGTTATTCTGTGCTCCCGTTCTGTGTGGGAGGCCCAGAAAGCCTGTAAGACTCCTAGGCCTTGGGAGACGGGGCGAAGGGAGGTCAGCTGACAGCAGTACCAGGCACCTTCCGGGCTCCTGAGCTGTGTGGGTCCTCATATTTTCCTTTGCTAAAAAAGTAAGGAAGCGTTGGGACAGGCAGTAGAGGGGGTAGGAAAGTGGAGGCATTAAAAGAATAAAAACAAACAAACAAAAACAAGACCCAACAATCATCGTTCTGTAACTCACCAGGAGGCATGATTGGAAAAACACTTGCTTGATTAAACAGAAGGTTTCTTCACTGAGCCCAAGGAACAACAGGCCCTTTCAGGGCCGCTGGGCAGGGGGACAGCAAGGTCACTTGGTAGTTTGATTACAGTTCAAATGGAGCTGCTCTAAAATGATGGCAAGTCAGTAAGCACAGGTTTTCATAATGGGGTTTTCACGTCGGGACACCAACATCTTGGTTTTTATTTTCTCACGTGGAGAGGGTGCCAAGCTGCAAACTGGGCAAGGCTGCTTCCACAGCCAGCAAGCACACTGTGTGCTCCCCGCAGCAGACCATAGATGGCAGCAGAAACACACCTTCTGGGTCCACCAGCAACCTCAGCTGAGAGCAGGGTGACAAAGGGGACCTGCAGGTCCGGGGCACTGACTACCAGGTGCAGAAATGAAACATCGCACAGAAACGCCTCCTGCGCTTCATTGCCATAGGCTATGTCCCAGGGCCGCAGAGCTGCAGTGACTGCCAGGCGGGTCCACGTCTGGGCCTGGCGACCTGGGTGCTCTCCCTACCCATATCAGGAGCCAGGTCTGTAGTCACTGTCTCCAGAGGCACAGCAAGGGACAAAAGACAATGGGGCCCCAGGGCATCGTCTCCTTCTGCCATCACACTGAGGACACCTATGCTGCCAGGACGGAGAGGGAAGGGAGGATGCTGCAGAGCTGACAGGGCAGGAGGCTGGCTTCTCCTTTCCCAGGCATCCTTCCATGGCAGCTGCTTTAACTGAACGGTTATTTAGAACGGTTCTGCCTAGAGAGCCCTGAGCTCAGGCTGCCGGGCTCCCTGGGCGACGCTGGAAGACACAGAATGTATGTGGTGGGCACGCGACTCCAGGGCTGAACACTGAGCATGGCCCACACTCCCCACACTGGAGAGTCATGTAGCCCCACAGGGATTTTTCCGTGGCTAGAAACTAAAATCTCTGCTTCTCAGGAAAGATCTCCCATCCTATAATTATTATGTTCTTTTGCCCCGAACAGTGCACACTTAACCGTTTCGCTGTTTGGAGGAATAACCTCTCATTTCCTGCAAACCTTGAGAGGACTGCCTACACTGTCAGAAACATCCATGAAGGTAGTGGGGCTGGGGTTGTTAAAGAGAAAGGTTTTGAGAAGCCAGTAGAGCTCCCCTGCTGGCTGGGTCCTATCTCTCAGGCAGAACCACTGGAGCCTTGGGAGTGGGGAGGGAACATGGACACAGGAGCCTGCTAGCTGCAGGATATCAGGTGCACCTCCATGCCACTAGAGGCCCCTTTTCTGGATCTTATCCTTATTCTGTCACTAGCGGGAGTGAGATTTATCAGAGAGGATTTCTGTGTATAGGGTGTGGCCGGAGCATGTGCCTCGGAAAGAGGCATGCCTAATAGCAGCAGGAGAAATGGAAGAAAATGGGCAAGTTGTACTGTAGGGCTAAGACACCTCAACTCCGTTAAATATGAAGAACCCAGGGTTACCATCATTGAGGCTTTGATTTCTGTGGCCTGCCCTCCCCGTCTGATTTGGGGGAAGAGGGACCAGCTGGCCAGGGGGAAGACAACCTCTACCCAGCAGAGAGCTCCAGATGCCATGGAGAAGAAAGGTGCTGGAAGATGAAGTTCCATGCAGGTGGGTTTACTCTGAGCCCTGGAACTCGGCGTTTCCTGACCCTGAGACTCAGTCCTGCCAGAGAGGGCCGACACCTTCATCAACTCCAAACTGCAAACAACTTAGGAGGAAATGTGGGAAGCATAATACTTGTCTATTTAAATAGAAAATCCTGGAAAAATTTAATTAGCTCCTTCAGACCAACCAATCTGAACCCATTAATTAAAAGGATTTGAGGCTCTTGCTTAATGGGCTTGAGTGTGACCCAGGTTTAATTATATGTGAATGACAATTTGCACCATCCCTTCCGCCCTGCTGGCACTGGAATACCACAGTGCACACGAAGCAAACACTCTGGGTTAACTCTCTAAAGCCGCACCATTTTAGGATGAAGCTTAAGCAAATGCCACACAGTTTCTTGGCAATGTTTTCTCATGGCACTAGTTAGAAATGCAGGAAACGCATTATTTGGAAATGCAAAACAAGTTTTTGTTCTGTCAATAAGCAATGTTTTCCTTGCTTCCTGTGCACTCATTTCCTGTGACGTTGTGATGGACAGGCGTATTAACGTCAAATAGCATACTTCAGGTCTGAATGACGACAGGGTAGGGCAGGGAGTTCATCATCACGTGGGTGTTCTGTAAACTCCTGAGGGTGTACGGCAGTGGTTTTCAACCTTCTGGCCCTTTAAATACAGTTCCTCATGTTGTGACCCAACCATAAAATTATTTTCGTTGCTACTTCATAACTGTAAATGTTGCTACTGTTATGAATCGTAATGTAAATATCTGATATGCAGGATGGTCTTAGGCGACCCCTGTGAAAGGGTTGTTCGACCGCCAAAGGGGTCTCGACCCACAGATTGAGAACCGCTGTGTACAGCTTTGTCACACATACACTGGTACCTTAACCACGCTGAATTACCTTCACCTGGACCTGCCTCTTTCGCACGGGGGCAGGAGACACACTATAAGAAGGCACTCAAGTGCAGAGGCTTCAAGGTTCAGGAGGAAACTGGGTATTTTATGTGCCCTTCATCTGGCCGACAGAAGCCCGGAATCTAAGGAGGATATTCCAGATGACAGAACAGCTCCAGGGCTGCAACTCTGGCTCCATCAGTGAGCATTTCCGAACAGAGGGATTACATGCTCTAAAGTTAAACTTCCCAACTAATATTAAGCAAGAGGAACAGATGATGCGCCATATGTCTTATTCATGGCACAAGACTAGGGCACTCCTGTGCATTCACAGAGTTTCAGGGAAGCCACTCAGATGCTCGCTCTGTGTGAAAGGAGACACGGAACTGTTCCCACCTCCTCAGGGGAGTCCTTCACAAAGAATCCCTCCATCCTGGACCACGGTCGTTTCCCAGAAAGACCCCATGGGCCTGGTCAGCTTCCAGTCACTTTTGACGAGGAATATCCAAGGTGATACAAAATAAGAAACATACAATCAACATACACTTTTCAGATTAGTTTTAATTCGGCAAGTTGGTAGGTGGCTCAGGAGGAATGTGTACAGGGTGAATTAATGGGTTCAGATTGGTTGGTCTGAGCAGTGAATGATCCTCAGCTTATCCATTAAATTAATTACTGGCACAAAGTGATCAGGACAATGCGGTGGTTAGCAGCACAGGCTCTGGGACCCGGGAGACCAGGGTTCACGTCTTAACTCCATCATATCCCAGGTTCTGTAACTGTAGGAAATGGTTACATGCCTCTTCTCATGGATTCTAAAGGCCCATCTTCATCATCGATTCTCTCTAGCTAGGGGTCGTTGGTCAAGGTAACACCAGCTCTCTAAACCTGTCTTTGCATGTGATAAGTGGGAAAAATAGAACTATATTTCATGGGGCTTCTGTGAGGATTAAATGAGATATTTCAAGGGAAGGATATATTCTAAAGCCTGGCACTTAGTAAGTGCTTACTAAACAGTAGTCCAAGTTCAAATCCAGGTTCAACTTCATGCAGCGGCATATCCACGACCTTTTACTGCTTAGCTGGAGTTAAGGTGTGTAGGAGTTTTGGTTGGGGGTTTTATAAAATATTCAGCACCTGCATGTGTATTGAGTCCAGGTGTTTCATAAAGCACCTGGACTAAAAAAAGGGGAGGGACATCCATAGAAAGAGAGAGGACATGGTTTACAGTGACTGCTCCATGGAAAGGCCAGTCCCGTGAGTCACATGCTATCGCTAAGCCTTGTGTATTCTTCATATAATGATGGGGAATCAAGATATTTTTGGTATCCCTTTTATAACTTTAAAACGAATTCATACAATGGCTAGGTATCGAGGCAATTTCAAGTAGCCTGCGGGGGTCCCTTCTTTGGCCATGTGTCTTCCCTTTGGCACCCAATGCCGCGGAGAGACAATAGCAGCCAAATTCTCACCCATATGGGTTTGGCTACACCCTCTTATGGCTACTCCAAGCCCCTGACAGACACTACCGGAAAATTCTCTTTGGAGGGGCCAGGAGACAAAGACAAGCATGGTTTAGGGCCCATAGACCTGCTAAACCCAAGACTACTTCCTGGAGACCAGCTTACTGAGTCGACTCCCAAAGTCTGCCGAGTTACCTAAGTGGCCTTTCAGAAACAAAGCGAAACACAAGCATCAGAACTCAAACTCCCTGCGCTCAGGCATCTGGAAGGTTCAGTACAGAATCAAATGGAATCGGTTTGCATCGTAGATGGAGATGGTGGAGTAAGAGGCTATCTGGATTAATTTAAAACTGAGATGCTGACCATCTCCACCTTGCCAGCATGACAGGTTTCCCCGCAAAAGGCAGCTCAGGTATCACTCCTCGGAGGAACAGCCCCTGACCAGCCCGCCTCACCCGAATCCCAGACCAGACGGACCCCTCAGCTCCCGAAAGCGAGGCGCCCAACAGCCGTGTCGCCAGCACATGAGGATGGGCTCCAGTGGTACCCAGATCAGAGGACTCTTGAGACAAAGAGATGAGTCCCGGAACAGCTTAGCACAGGTAAGGGTTAGAGAAAATGGCTGCTATTGTAGTAAAACCCTGCCGTCGTGGGCACTGTGATGACATGAATATGCTGAGTGCGTGAAAGCGACTGAGATGGACTCTGTCCTCTACAGCAGCCTCACCCCGTGTTTCATCGGCTTCACCAGTCACAGGGCAACACTTTACAAAACTGATTGGCTGACCCTGCTCACAGCGCCACAGGAAGGTTTATTGTGGTATCACTATTTTATATTATTTCTACTCCTACCTGTGTACTTTTTCACCTTTTATAGTTCCCTGTGTGTCTCCTCCCCAACACCTGTATATTTGTTGTGGGCAAAATGGCCTTAGTCATCTCTGTGTCAAAAGTGCCTAAAGTAATTCCTGGAACATATCCAGTTCTTAGTATTCATTTGGCAGAGAAATGAGCAAAGGAATACATACTAACAGGTTAGCTTTTTCCAGCAATCAAGTGTGTCTGCGAGGAGATGCTGGATGACTCATGTGTATTTGGATGTGGGGATATGCTTTTGTTCTGGAAGTCAGAGAGGTCACTGAATCATATCTCTACACACTCTTCATTCTACACACATATGTGGGAGGGGAGAAAGAGAGGAATATATGTGTGCAACTTTTTTCCATCGAGTTGGAACAAGAATAGCTTAGGTGCTGGTCACTAAGATGAAAACTGCTTGCTTTAGGGCGAGTGTGTCCGCATCTGAAATAGAACTGGAGGGCGGATGGCTCCGTTAGTAAGTAAGCTTGGGGGAGCTCTCCCAGGGCCACGAGGGGCAGGTCAGGGCATCAGAAGGAAAGTGCCCCTTGCTGGGGAGATCCTGGAGACCCAGGTGAGTGGTTCATGAGAAAAGCAAGAAGTCACTCCCAGAGGGCATGACCACAAGATCCCAGATGGCAAACAGATTTCATGTTGACTTCTTCCTTCATTCTTAATGTTCTGAAGGCCCTCTACAAGCCAGGCCCTATTCTAGGCATGAGAACTACCTGCAAACAGAACAAGCAAAGCCCTCTGCCACATGAGCCACAGGGGTTGGGTTCCTCAGCGGTGGCTGTCTCAGCCCGGGGTTTCTGAGAAAGGCATATGAAGACGCGTTCCAATGGTACCAGCTCAGAGGACTCCAGCTCGAGGGGAGAGCCATGGTTGATTGGTGGCCAGGGGGCGTGTCAGACAGGAGGATGGGATGGGAGAGGGACAGCATCTTCCAACCTTGCCCAAGCTTCTAGGTGAGCCCCGCAGGTAAGCTGTCAGGTGACATGGTGAGGACACGGAAACTGTGGCCCACCGGGGTTAGAGGGGAATGAGCAGAGATTTGGAGGGAGAGGAGGTGCAGCAACAGCGTGAGTAGCAGTGGCTTCTACCTGGTTTCCCATAGCCAGAATTTGTTCTCAAATTTTTGCTGTAGAAACAGAGGTACTTGAGCTTGGATGGACCTGGAGAATATTATGCTAAGTGAAATAAGCCAGGCAGAGAACAATAGATACCACATGATCTCACTTACATGTGGAATCTAATGAACAAAATAAACTGACAAACAAAAACAGAGGAACGTACAGATGGAACAAACTGACAGAAGTCAGAGGGGAGAAGGTGGGGTGGATAGAATGAAAGGAGGCAAAGGGATTAGCCAAAGAACATATAAGCATAACCCACAGACACAGACAACCGTGTGGTTAGGGTCAGAGGGAGGGAAGGGTGGGTTCTGGGTGGAGGTGGGCAAAGGGGGGGGGAGACATCTGTAATAATGTCAATAAAAATAAAATATAATTTAAAACAAAGAAAAAAAGAAAAGAAAGGGAGATACGTGTTCTGGCTCCCTCTAAATGCTCCTCCATCCAGTGTAGGACGAGAAACACCCATTCTGCAAGGAGCTTCCATGGGGAGACCAGGGGGAGTGGGCACGAAGAGGTTAAAATTAGGAAGGAAAGGAAGAAATCACATGAAAAGAGATGGGGACTTAAACCAAAGTGAAAATGTGTGGATTTTCTGGCTTAACCTGCACTCCTGGAGTCCGCAGGACCCATGACTTGTCTGCTCCTCTGATAAACAATGACTCCCTCCAAATGTATATGCCTATGAGAAGTCCAGGACTTCCCAGCTCTCTCAGCCTGATGTCGGTGCTACTGAATTCCTCCCGTCTTTGCGGGCGCCCTGCAGCTGGCGCCTGCTAATGACACCTGGCCCTAATGGCAGGCCAGGACCAAATTCCGCTGAGCAGACAGTTTCCTGAGCTTGGTGCAGATTCGAAGATGGCTCATAAAGAAAAAGAATGAGTCAGAAGCTGGTTAGGCATCAATCATTTCGGTCTGTCTCTAAACTTCGAGGAGCGCCAGGCTCGCTCCTCTCTCCTGCAAAGGAACCTAACAGCCACTCATCCCGCATGCTTTTGTCCTCTGCATCTCCAGTCTCGCTTCCATGCGGGTTGTAATAAATTGCCTTTAAATTGCTCAGAGACACACAGAAAGGAGTACGAGGCAGAGAGGGTTATATATGCAAAGCCTGACTGATCTTCAGTGTCATTATTTCAGAGCTCAAGGTTCATTCATTTCAGTGCCTGCTGCCGTGTTCTGGAGTAAGGGGTTGGGGCGGGGGGTCTTGGCAGTACACTGCCTCATTTCCATCATATTTGCCACTGTTTTAGCCATAATTCTACTCGAAATACTTTAGTATATTCTAGATAGCTGAACAGGCAGTACAAAATGGGACCAGTGACATCCTCTCAGGGAACAATTTTTCAAGGATAAATATACACCCTCACACTCCACATTGAAGCTGCAACCCTTTGTTGGCAGGCAATCGCTGGTGGCCCGGGACTTCCAGACCTCAGCCCTTCCCTTCCCTGCACAGAGGGGGCCTCCGCCCCAGCTTGTTTCTCATTTCCGAACAGGTAAATGGAGGGTAGGTAACAAGAGCTCCTTTGAAATTTGCAGGGCAGAGTAAGACATTCACGAGGCTGGATTAGGGACATGTATGAGACGCCAACGCCACACTGCTGAAAACCAGTGCTGCCAAAGGTCATTTGAAAGGAGCCTGAGCTCTTCCCATGATCTACGAAGGGAAAAGTAAAATGAGGCAAATGGCAAAACAGCATTGCCAACAAAGGACCCACATATTCTAATGATTCTAAGACACCGCCCGGGACAGAAGGTGAATGGGAAGCACACAGTGTGAGCTGGGGACACAGTGCCTTCCTGGCTGCTGGGCTGCGGACTAAGGTGACCTTATAAGGAAAGAAAGTCCCCATTAAGACAACCACACCTTCAGCCAAGGACATAAATGACCTAACAAGCTAGTTTAGTCATGCACGGCATTGCACAATGGCTTGGAGGTAGAGATGGTCAGATGCATTTACATATGCAGAAACAGGCAGTTCTCTGTCTGGAGAGCATCCATTAAATGTGTGAGTGCTTATTCCTGAGGATGGTGTGTCAAAGGCCAGCAGAGCTTTAATTTACAATAAAAAAGTCACCCTTTACAGCCACCTTCCAGAGACCTCAGGGACTGTGGGCAAGCCCAGCTCTCTGGACTGCTTCCTCCTGTTGAGAATAAAGTTAACAATAGTACCTGCCCTGCCTACCTCTGGGGGCAGTTGTGAGGATTACACAGGACAGCACATGTGAAAATACTTTCCAAAATGAAAGTATCCCACAGTGAGTATAAAACCCTATTAGGCCACAGAGGTTCATCCACTCAGCCTCCCTCCCCTACCTTGAAGATGAAAACATATTCCGTCAGGGTCAGAGCCAAAAAATTCACTATGAGAATGAGCCGCTCCTCCTTTAGGAAACACTGAGCAAGGGTCTGCTTGTTTCCCTCACCCTGTACCCCTTGCACAGTGCCTGGCCCACAGAACTGCTCAGTCAGTATCTGTAATATTCACACAAAAAAGCTTAACAATAAACGTGAGAGCTTACCTAATACACTACCAACCCTTCGAAACCAAACTCTGGTCTATTTGTAAGTCCCTTGATTTCATTTGGTACCTCAGACACTGCGAGAGACCTCCCACATTGTTAAAACAATATATTCATCATCCATCCAGGGCTCCCGGCTCCCTGCACCATGTGGTGTGAACCCTGTCTCTGTCCCTGACAACCAGCCACTTTGCCCCTTATCAGAGTTCATCTTCTACTACTTCCCAACACTGGTTAGACTAGCCGGGTTGGATTCCACTCTCACCTGAATGTGTTATCTCCACTCCAGCACCTGGCTCTCACTGCTGTCTGTTCCCAGGCCAGGAGCACCCACACCCCTCTGTTTCTCATCTCTTACATCTCTCAGGACGCCTTCCCCACTCCTTGAGCCTGAAGGGGTATTTCCCTTGTCTGAACTCCTTCAGCATGCAACCCAAGTGAGGACATGAGAGCAAAAGCTGGCTGGGGGACCAATTCCGTGAACAGTGGTGTTGGGAAGGTGGGGCAGTTAAGCAGCCAGGCTTGTTGGGAAGGCCACTGCCCCATCTAAAAGTCTGGCCCCTGACCCTGGCCCCTCACGGGATACCTGGTCCAGAGCAGGTCCTCAGTGAGCAAGTTTTACACTGTGGCAACCTCCTTTCACAATTCGCTGACTTTTCACTGCCCAGAAATAACCTAAAGAACTACTGTAGTTTTGAAAAGAAAGCATGAGAGAGATTCCGATCCTATTTTCGACGCCAGCAGAAACAAATCTGAAAACATCGCTGATGTATTTTTACCAAACCACCAAAAACTCACCTTGGTTTCTCGGAGAAGAAATTGCAGGTCCCGCCCACTGAGGATACCATGGTTTTTCACATAACTGGGAATATTCTTCGTGCTGGAGCCATAAACGGTAGCATGCACTTCCATGTATGTGTGAATAATGTCCAGGTAGATCTTCTTATTCTGTAGAGGGGACACAAGAGAAAGGCATTCCTCATGTCTTTCCATCCTTAAAGCACCTGCCTCAAAGCTGGGGCCACAGGCATGGGAGTTCCTAACACAAACGCTGCAGAAACATTGCAGTCCAACTTCTAAAATTTCTTTCAAAAGTAATCTGACTGGATTTTGAGGGTAAAAATGGTCATATGACAAACTGTACAATTTTGCAAGAAGAAAGTATTATATAGCGACCTATTATTGAATACCAATGCTAGCTCAAGGCCAAAAGTTTGGGGGTATCATCCTTGCTTGGTAAATTACCAAGAGACCCAACACTTTGCTTCTGGCGGGTCTGCCTATGGGCGAGGAGATTGGGGAAGGCAAGGTTGGACTTGAATATTTATTTATCCGGAGACACTAAGCTGTCCCCGAGGAGCACAAACAATCCCCAGCTCCTGCCAATATCTCTAGTGATGATTAACTCATCTTGTCGGAACAGGATCCCACCTAATTTGCATCATGAGGAGAGAGCTTCCCAGAATCCATGGTGATTGACTTGGCAGCTGGAGAGAGAAGACTATCCAGGTAGGCAAAAGTGAAATACAGACTAAATGTAAACCCTGATGAGCCCTAAACATCTGAGAGTAGTTTTACTTTTATTAGCAGCAAAACAAAACCTCTTTCCTGGACTGAATTTTGAGGCGCGTTGTCAGAATCAAAACCACCTGCAAAGCAGAAGCAAGCACACTTCCCTCCTCCGCGAGTTTCTGTGGGACTAAGTTGCATAAGCTGGTTTTGTGGGCTGCTTTTTTTTTTGTAATTTGAAAGATTCGGCTCTGTAATGCTTTCCAGTTGTATGAGAGTGGGACACGGTTTCCGTGTCTGAGCCTGTCCTCAGACACTCCAGGAAAATGCAGTCATTGCCAGTTTTGTGACTTAGGGTGGCAGGGAACATAGGTGTGTGAATCGGAGCGCAGCATGCAGAGCGCAGAGGACGGGCGAACACTTCTCCGCGGGCCCCGGAGGTTGGGTCCTCATTCCAAGGACATGGGGAGCACCCAGGAGCGGGGTGCAGGGTCTGCCCTCTGCCATTCACTGTCCTGGTGACAATTATTACAAAGGACTCTCAACTTTGGGGGTACATGTTTCAAATCACTATTAAAGTCTTCATGACCGAAAAGCACAGGTCATGTTCTCCAGGCGGACTGTTCGGAGTCAGCCAAGCCCATCTCTGCACCCTCACGTGTGAATACAACGAACACTTTGACTGAAAGCTTAATTTCATGTGCGTTTGGTGTGGCTGGGAGATGGTAAATCCATTACTTCAGAGATGTATGTCCTTGAATTAGTGCAGAAGTGACAGCAAAAAGTTTATAAATAGTGACTTCCCATCCAGAGCTTGAGCCAAATTTAGGGTCACCACTCTGGTGTAACGTAAGTTCATTGGAGGGGTCCTCTGACATAGTTCTTGGGCTAGTGGTACCCTCACAAACCCCTTCTGAGGGACTCCATCTCCACCCTCACCCCTGCCACTGCTGACTGGCCCAGGGAGGGGGGGGGCCCCATTCCTCGCTGGCCAGCAGCCGGGACAGTGTGTCCAGCTCAGGAAGAGGAGCTGAGCCAACGGCTCTCTCTCGGGAGTGAATCCTGTTCACAGAGAGATTACCGCCAGATGGCCCTGGGCTTTCGAGCAAGAAGGTTATTTGGTGTTGGAGTCGGGGCAACTATAGACCAGAGGTTAAGTTCAGATACAGTTATAGGCCAGCTGCCAGTTTTGGGGGGAAGAGCTGAGAGAACAGAGGAAAGAGAGAGAAAGACAGTGACCGAGACTTAGATATCACCCAGCAACAGTGATAAAGAGAGGCAGGGGCGGGCTGGG